AGGTCATAAGGGTGGGGTCCAATCCAATAAAGCTGGTGTCTTTACAAGAAGAGGAAGAGACAACAGAACTGGAAAGGCCATGTGAAGACACAGGGAGAAGGCAGCTATCTAAAAGCCAGGAAGAGCTCTCATCAGAAACCACATTTGCTGCCACCTTGGTGATGGACCTCTGACCTCCAGAATGTTCTGTTGCTTAAGCCACCCAGTCTGTGGTATTTTGTTATGGTAGCCTGAGCAAACTAATACAGGTACCAAAACTTAAAAAAAAATGCTTAATCTTTTACACAATTCTACTTCTAGGAATAATCTCTAAAGAAATCATCATGAATATACACAAAAATGTAAGTTCAAGGAGAGTCTATGCAGTCCTATTTATAATATGAAAAAAATTAGAGGGCTTCCCTGGTGGCGCAGTGGTTGAGAGTCCGCCTGCCGATGCAGGGGACACGGGTTCGTGCCCCGGTCTGGGAGGATCCCACGTGCCGCAGAGTGGCTGGGCCCGTGAGCCATAGCCGCTGAGCCTGCGCGTCCGGAGCCTGTGCTCCGCAACAGGAGAGGCCACAGCAGTGAGAGGCCCGCGTACCGCAAAAATAAATAAATAAATAAAATTAGAAACAAATATCCAGGTTCATGTGATTGAATAAATAAAGGTAGATTGAACAAATAAATGATGAAACTCAGTCTTTTAATGTGCTGTGGAAAGATATTTAACATGGAAAAGGAGTCATAAACATATTATTAGGTGAAAAAACAAGGTTATAAAATACTGAATACAATCCAATTATTAGGAAGAAATATGGTTATGCATAGAAAGAAGTGGAGGTGGATTTACTTATATAAATATTTATTTTTATACCAAAATATTAAGAATAATAAGGTCAGGATGATAAATTAACCAGCAATTTTTAGTTTCTTCTTTTTGTTTATATATATGGGTTTTCCAAAAAAATCACAGTGAATACATATTAATAATTTTTGGAATAAGAAAGAAGCCTACAAAGTTCATTGCATTCTTGCAGATATGAGTTTGATAGACTGAAACATCAAGCTGAAAAAATAGGTTGCATTTAGAGTCAAAACTGTAATTTTTCTGAAGGGAAACGAACACCTCAACTTTCAGGTGATGATAAACTCACCGAGAGCCAACAGTATGGTATGACTGCTAAAAAAGTTAATATAATCTTAGGTTGCACAAGAGAAGTACAGTTCATCATACTTTGTTTAGTCCACACCTAGAGTATTACCACATCTAAAAAGAGTGCCACAATTTAAAAACAGATAAACTGAATCCATAGGAAAACAACTAAAACAGTGTAGGAGCACATGGCGGTTGAATGAGGATGCTTCCTGGGTTCCAGAAAGAGAAGAGGAAGGTTGGACATGGCAGCTGGCAAATAGAAGGCTAGCATATGGAAGATGGAATTGATTTTGTTTTCTATTATGCCCTTGAGAGAAGAACTAGAATAAATCACTATTGGTTATAAGGAGGTAGCTTTCATATTAAATACAAGAAAACTTTCTAACAGTCATTGGTCTATGGTAACAGGATGGGTGGGGGTTGAGTAAGGGGTGAGATAAAGGAGATGTAGAAAGTTGTATATCCAGGTGGGAAATTAGACCAGGTAACCGGTCAGGTCCATTCTACACCCAGGGGTCCAGGTTATTTTTATTTTTTAATATTTATTTATTTATTTTTAAATATTTATTTATTTAATATTTATTTATTTATTTGGTTGTGTCAGGTCTTTGTTGCAGCATGTGGGCTCCTTAGTTGTGGCAGGCCGGCTCTTTAGTTGTGGCATGCATGTGGAATCTAGTTCCTGGGGATCGAACCCAGGCCCCCTGCATTGGGAGCACGGAGTCTTAACTACTGCACCACCAGGGAAGTCCCCCAAGTTATTTTCAGAGCATGCCTCTGAACCCAGGGGATGGGTCTGTGCTCATAACAAAGAAACACATCTCATTGTGCTCAACAGTGACCAGTCAGGCAGCCCAACACCTGCAACTTCAGGATCTCTCTCCCTCTCCAGACTGTCAGGCCTGTTTCTGATATATTTGTTTCCTCTTTTTTCCTTCCCCCATAGAAATATTTTCACAAAAATGATTTTAAAAGTATATATATATCGGGCTTCCCTGGTGGCGTGGTGGTTGAGAGTCCGCCTGCCGATGCAGGGGACGCGGGTTCGTGCCCCGGTCCGGGAAGATCCCACATGCCGCGGAGCGGCTGGGCCCGTGAGCCATGGCCGCTGAGCCTGTGCGTCCGGAGCCTGTGCTCCGCAACGGGAGAGGCCACAGCAGTGAGAAGCCCGCGTAGCGCACACACAAAAAAGTATATATATGCTCACTGCAAAACCCCTGCAGGCTCCTTTCTACTCTCCATTTCAGTATTTTTATATATAAATGATACATCCCATCCCCAGTATGGGATAATTCTTCACTCAGTAATTATGCTGGGCGCCTTTCAATGTTAGCACACATACTGGCTGTCCGAACAGGTGGGGCGCCTTTCAATGTTAGCACACATACTGGCTGTCCGAACAGGTGGGGCGCCTTTCAATGTTAGCACACATACTGGCTGCCCGAACAGGTGGGGCGCCTTTCAGTGTTAGCACACATACTGGCTGCCCGAACAGGTGGGGGTCTAGGATAAATTTATTTTATTTTTTATTGTGCTAGATACACATAACAAAGTTTACCATTTTAACCATCGTTAGGGGTACAAGTCAGTGGCATTAAGTACATTGACAGTGCTGTACAACTGCATTCATGAAGATACATTTATTCTTAAACAGTATGCTAGTTACAATTTCAAAAAATATGCTCAATGCGTTGTTTTCAACCTTTAGACACCTTTTCAGGTACATTTAAAGCAATGGGTCGAAATGTCAATCTGAACAAACTAACATGAATCTGCTGTTCTCCCTGTGTTTCCAAGCCTTGTAAACACTGTAATGCCAGAGGCAGGCGGAAGGTAGAAAGGAGTGAACAAGGGTTCTGTAGTCTTGGCTCAAACACTACTGAATATATGACCTTGGGCACATTATTTAACCTATTACTCTGTCATCGTTTGACTCTTTTTTCTTCTGACATCCTAGTGACCTTCAGAGAGCTTTTCTCTTTTCTCTACTCCAGTAAATATAGATTTACAAGTGGTTTCAACAGAGACTGGCCTGCGTGGCATAATTTGGAAGATAGCAAGAGAATCACCCATCCAGACCATCTTCCCTAACGGCCTGCTGTGGTGCTTCACATTCCAACCTGGCATCACTGCTTTGCCGAGCTGGCCTCATGGGAGTGCAACCCGTGCGGCTGCAGGGTCCTCACAGTTAGAAGGGCCCTGTGTTTGGTCTGATGGTCTGCTGTTCCTGTCTTGAAACTCTTAATTTTGAACAAGGTGCCCTGCATTTTCGTTTTGCCCTGAGACCCACAAATTACGGAGCAAGTCCTGTTCCTTTGGGTGAAAGTGCTGTCCTCAGAAGGGCTTTATTTTATTTATTTATTTTTTTGCGGTACGCGGGCCTCTCACCGCTGCAGCCTCTCCCATTGCGGAGCACAGGCTCCGGACGCGCAGGCTCAGCGGCCATGGCTCACGGGCCCAGCCGCTCTGCGGCGTGTGGGATCCTCCCGGACCGGGGCACGAACCCGTGTCCCCTGCATCGGCAGGCAGACTCTCAACCACCGCACCACCAGGGAAGCCCAGAAGGGCTTTATTTTAAGAGTGAATAATTTACCTGAAATACATACCATATTAACACCAGTTAACACACATTTTGTCACTTTAATTAACATGTTAATTAATTAGTTAAGACAGCAGAGATCTGAAGGATTGAAGCATTGAGCCTCCAATTTTTGATGTGGAGAAGAAGCCTGCAGAGGTCCAGAGCATGAATACTGCCTGCACAGGATACCCTCAGGGCCTCTGAGAGGCGGGGTGGGAGGGGCAGATGAAGGCACTAGACACCAAGGACTTGATGCATTTTTGTTGAATGACAGGACAATTAAATGAGTGAATGAATGAATGAAGAAATGAAGAAATGAATGAATGAAAGGTGCTAAGGGGAAGAATGGAGGAGACATGGAACTCAAGTTTGGATGTATGTATGTGCTCTATGAGGCATAGACTCAAACACTGGCAGCTCCATCCCCAAGTCAGAGACTAAACGGTTGCCTCATCTCTGAGCTCTTCTGCCTGTGGTGTGAGCTTCGGGAGAAGCTAAGCGTGCTCTCCTAGTCACAGCAGACAACATCCAGGGCTGGAGGCAGAGACCAAAGCCATGAGGAGGTGACCTGCCTCTGCGGCCACGTGGCCAGCACGCTGCCCCAGGATCATACTCCACCGTAAGTGGTGACAAACTGGCTCAAATAAAACCTCTCTTTGGGTAACTATAAATGCTAGATATCCCCAAAAGAAGGTGAGTCATTTTAGCGAAGGTCGCTGCTGTGGACACGAGTCCTGGTTCCTGTAGATCCTCTGACCCAGTCTCCCGAAGCAGAAGCAGCTGGGCGAGGCTGTATCCAGAGGGACCCTCCCTTCTTGTCCCCACAAGTTCCCACACATGCTTACACCATGTCTTCTCGTTCGTTGAAGGTGGTCCATGTGTGGGTTCCTTCGATCTTAAACAGCGAACCAATTCGGAGCACCCTACTGTTATAACAAACATCTTGCATAGACGAGGTGGAAGCAAACTGAAGGTCCATCGGCTGGTGAAAAGGATAAACCAAATGTGGTATACACATAGAGTGGAATACGATTCAGCCTTAAAAAGGAAGGAAACCTTGTCACAGGCTACAACGTGGATGAACCATGAGGACGTTACACCAAGTGAGATGAGCCAGTCACAAAAAGGCAAGTACTGTAGGATTTCACTTACCTGAGGGACATAAAATAGTCACGCGCACAGAAACACAAAGCAGGAGGGTGGTTGTCAGGGGCTGGTGGGGAGGGGAAGTTGTTGAATGGGTACAGAGTTTCAGTTTTGCTGGTTGAAAAAGTTCTGGAGGTCTGTGCACCACAATGTGAATGTATCAATACTTAACACTACTGAACTGTGCACTTAAAAATAGTTAAGATGGTAGATTTTCTATTATGTATTGATTACCACAATTTAAAAATTTAAACATTATTAGAAAAAAATCTTACATAGACCGTTCAGATCTGGGGACCGTTTGATTTCACTGCAGCTGAAACTTTTCTCCTTGTACGTCTCGATCATGATGGTTTATAAGGTGTCTGTCTCTAAGCCCTTGGGGACAGTTATAGTGGTTACACTGCTGCTAAACTTTTATAACAAACAGAACCCTTTTTACTATGTCAAACGTGAAATTGGGTTCCCAAATGGTTTCATTTTCAAATCCAAAAGGGATGGTTTAATTTTACATCGGTTAGTAACACCTTTGGCTTTCTAGGTTACAACCATTTTTATATGTTATCTCATTCAATCCTCATAACAACAAACTTCGGGGAAGATAAGGTAGATATTATAATTTTCATTTCACAGATGAGAAAACTCAGGCTTAGAGAGTATATGTGGCTTGTCATAAGTCACAAATCCAGTTAGCAAATCTGAGTATGGAAACCTAGACCCCCAAACTCCCAGGACAGAGCTCTATGCTATGCAAGTAATGAACATAGTAGGTACCGGTTCACTTTCATTTTGGCGTCCTTAAAGTTGATATTTTGGTAAAAATCACAATTTCATGAGGAAGCAAATTTCCCTCTTCACCATGAGAATCATATCTCTGGAACTTATCAGTTTGGGGAACATGAGAAATAACTAAGACACCTGTGTTCCACTGGTCGCAATATAATTTAATTGGAGTCAAGGTCAAGGACACTTTACAAACAAACTTTTGTAAAGTGATGGCGACTTTACCCTCACTTCTCACAGTACAGAAGGTCAGATCTGGGAGTCTGGGACTGGGCTTTGTCCATTTGAGTCTGGGTCACAGGGAACAGGGCTGAAGTTGAGGGTCAGGCTGGGAAAGAACCCTGAGTGGCCGTTCACAGTGTGGCCTTGATGCGACCCTCATTCTCCATTCTATGAGTGTCTCTGTCCCAAATGCTGCTTTCTTTTCTTTTTCTAAAAAATTTTATTGGAGTATAGTTGATTTACAGTGTTGTGTTAGTTTCAGGTGTACAGTGAAGTGACTCAGTTATACATATACGTATATATATTCATTCTTTTTCAGATTCTTTTCTCATATATAGGTTATCAGAGGATATCGAGCAGACTTCCCTGTGCTCTACGGTAGGTCCTTGCTGGCTGTCTATCTTATATATAGTAGCGTGTGTATGTTCCTCCCAAGCTTCTGATTTATCCCTCCCCCACTGCCCGCCCCGACGTTTCCCCTTTGGTAACAAGTTTGTTCGTGGTATCTGTAAGTCTGTTTCTGTTTTATATAAATAAGTTCGTTTGTGTCATTTTTTTCCCCAATTAGATCCCACAGATGAGTGATATCATACGATATTTTTCTTTGTCTGACTTACTTCGCTTAGGATAATCTCCAGGTCCACCCAAATGCTTCTTAACTGGCATTTTTCCCCTTCCTATCCAGTTATAATCAGATTAGAATGCAGAAAGTTATCCTTGGTCCCTCTCTGCCCCTTCAGCAGCTAAAGAAGAAAGCAATGGAACTGTCATCAAGGACAGGGTACATATTTAAACAAACATTCCCTTCTGTTAAAACAACTTAAAAAAATGTCAACATTAGCGTAGCGAGATGGATATATCCTGTCTACTGAGAAAGCAAGGGAACTTGGTTTTGTTGACTTTTAAAAGAGTGTTGATGTTCTCTAAATCAGAAATATTAGGAATTTAAAAGGTATTAGACATCGTTTGGGGAAAGGAAAGTGAGACAAATCTAATTTTCACAAAGTCCTCTAGAATTTGTTTGTTGACCCCGCATTTCTCAGAAGCTTCCGTTTACAAAATTTTCGACCTGCACACACACCTACTAGATTTGCTCCCAATCATGTCAAGCTCTTCCAGAGCTGGTTTTCTTTGAGAACGAGGTAAATTGTTCGGATGCGCACTGAAAGTTTTAAACAGAAGAGGGCACTAGGTCAGAGAGCATCCAACACCACGCTCACGAGAAATGCGAGAGAGCCGGAGAGTGGAGGAGAGGGAAGGGGGGGCGCGCGTGGAGGAGGGAGAGGGAAGGAGGGGCGCGCGTGGAGGAGGGAGAGGGAAGGAGGGGCGCGCGCGGAGGAGGGAGAGGGACAAAACCGAAGCGGAGGGATGGAAGGACAACTGATTGATGGGGATTCATAATCAAGCCCAATTGCAGCTGCAAGTCAGGAAGGAAGTGAATCTTCACGTGATTTCCCTTTCATGTTAGAAAGCAACAGGGATTTGGTGCAAGGCTTGGGGCTTGAGGTCTTGTGCGTGGTACTCAGAAGAGAAGAGGGTGGCTTGAGAGGACTGAAAGAGGTAGATAGCGTGCTGAACCTAAATGCTACCTGTGAACAAAGGAAACAAGTTATTGAAGAGATCCTGTCTGTGTATTCACTGTGTATATATGACAAAGGCTAGACTCTGATGAAACACATAGTTTTGGTCTTACTGCCAAATTAGCTCTATTTAAAAAAATTTTTTAACATGGAAGTGTTTCTGTAAATTTTGTAAAATTCTATCCTAGAAGGAAAAATACTATACTGCTTTTGTCCACGTTGGAACATTCCTTTTCAAATATTTTGGGTAAATTATTGGGAGAAGTGTCAGAGGATTTAGCTTTTCTGGTTAAACCTAAAAAGGAAAACTTCAGAAAATGATGGCTTTGGAACAGATATTGGAGTCATACAGTTCAAGATAAATACCCCAGTATCCCATCATAAGAATAATTTCTTGATTCTTAGGTTGGAGGTTTTCCTTTCCTGGGAAAATTGCCCACATTGTCCTTTACCCCCCTCTCCCCAGGATGTGCAGAAAAGGGTTAACTAACCTCTTCCTGCTGTAAGAAAGTCTGTCCAGAGCAGTACTGACCATCGATAATACAGTGCCAGTTATGAGTGTAATTTTCAATGTTTTAGTAGCCACATTAAAAAAAAAAGGAAAAAGAAGCAGGTGAAATGCATTGTCTTAGTATATTTTATTTAATTCATTATATCCAAAATATTATCAAGTCAATATGTCATCAGCAAAAAAACCTATTACTGAGCTCTTTTACTGTTTTGGTATAAGTCTTTGAAACCCAGAGTATTTTGCACTTACGGCATATGTCAGTGTGGACGAGCCACAGTGAAAGTGCTCACGAGCTGCGTGTGGCTAGAGGCTACTGTACTGAATAGTGCGGATCCGGAACATATTATTTTTTGGTCATGAAAAAATAAGCAACCAATCCGTGAAGTGGCAAATTTAATAATGTGTCTAAAAGATGCACTGCCAGGACTTCCCTGGGGGCGCAGTGGTTAAGAATCCGGGACACAGGTTTGATCCCTGGTCTGGGAAGATACCACATGCAGTGCAGCAACTAAGCCTGTGCGGCACAACTACTGAGCCTGTGCTCTAGAGCCCTGGAGCCACGACTGCTGAGACTGTGTGCTGCAACTACTGAAGCCCGCGCACCTAGAGCCCATGCTCCACAACAAGAGAAGCCACCGCAATGAGAAGCCCGCGCACCGCAACAAAGAGTAGCCCCTGCTCGCTGCAACTAGAGAAAGCCCGAGCACAGCAACGAAGATCCAACGCAGCCAAAAGTAAATAAATATATAATCTTATATATAAAAAAAAACGCACTGCCTATCTATAAGTCTAATTCTACCTTAATGTTTTTCAATTTTTTGTGTGGTAAAATAAACATAGTGTAAAATTTAACTAGTTTTAAACGTACAGTCTACCTCAACTTTTAAAATAATCTGTTGCACAGTTACTAGAATACCAAATATGTTTTTCACTCAGAACATTTACATAGGGAGCTTCCCTGGTGGTCCAGGGGTTAAGACTTCGCACTTTCCATACAGGGCGTGGGGTTCGATCCCTGGTGTGCCACACCGTGCAGGCAAATAAACAGATATTTTTAAAAAAAGAATGTTTACATAATTTTCCCCCTCCTGTGCATATAAGAACAAGAAAGTAAAGTTTCAGTGTGAAAGTAATATTTTTTTCATTTTCAACAAAATTATTTAACTACTTTTGAAACACAAATTTGGGGAGTCATTTCCCCACTATCTAAGAATCTCGTAGACACCAAACTCAAAACCACTAAGGGAAAGAAGAAACTAACACACCATTGTAAAACAATTATACCCCAATAAAGATGTTAAAAAAAAAATAAAATAAAGTAAATGAGAGAAAAAAAAAACCGCTAAGGGAAAAGTCTAAGAGACTGGTATCTGAGGAACAATAGCTGCTTTCTAGACTAAAAACAGACATTAAGGAAAAAATTTATATTAGTTTTGTAAATATTGAAATAGTATTTTAATTATACTGATGATGCTATTATGGGTCTTACACTTCTCCATAAAGATCAACATTTCTCTCACTAATAGGGCTTCCTCTATTCTTCTTAAGTAATTAAATACAAATGGAACTAGAATATTCACAATAGTATAACTCAAACGATCCAGTGAACACAGGGTTTTAATTCTATTTTTCATTTCATCTACAATTTTACGTTCAGAACGGAGTGAATTGTACATGAATAATGTGGTATTAACCCTTACTGGAAAAACTTAACTTTTATATTGTCTGAGTTGTATGAACTTAACTTTCCTAAAACTTTTGTATTTTTGAGCCCTCTCTCTGTAAGTTTTGCTACCTCATGTTGCTCTGTACAGATGACTACGGTTTTTATGGATTCTTTGAACTCAGAATGGTGAAGCAAAACAAGAAATGATTGAACATGCTTGTCTGCTGAGGACACTTTGGTGGTTGCCCCCGCCCCCCGCTCCCACCCCAGTCCTTTGGGCACACCTAGAAGTCAGGTCGCATCAGATTCTTCTGCCCTAGTTACTCCGCAGCCGGGGTCGCTGGGTTAAATACGTTCTCCCGTTATCTCAGCTGGCTTGAAATAACCTACTGAACTTACACCTAAATACCAGAAAAGTCAGTCTAGAACCAAATCATTTCCTGCACGGTTGTTCATCTGCTTGTCTTTGCTGCCAAGTTACCACGTCTCCTTTTTTTCTAAGATGATCTTTAGACACTGGCCATTTCATGGATTTGCTCTCTTTGTCAATATTTATATTTACCAATGAGTTTTTATATTTGTTACTTCATAGAAATAAAGATTTTTAAAATTTTGGCTAAAGATTTCCCTCGGTAAAGAGAAGGGTATCCTACTCTCCCTTTAGGAGTTTCTTTACCCTCTACTCAGATGCACAGGCTCCGGACGCGCAGGCTTAGCGGCCATGGCTCACGGGCCCAGCCGCTCTGAGGCAAGTGGGACCTTCCCGGACCGGGGCACAAATCCGTGTCCCCTGTATCAGCAGGCAGACTCTCAACCACTGCGCCAGCAGGGAAGCCCTCCTTTCTTTTCTTTTTTAAAATTTATTTTTAATTTTATTTTTTCCAGTTTTATTGAAATATAATTGACATATAACATTGTATAATCTTAAGGTGTACTACATAATGATTTGATATATGTATATATTGCATCTTTCTTTTCCTACTCTCCATTCAATTTAAATGCCACTGAGTTCAACAGTGTCCAAGCAGCCCTGGCAAAATTTTGGGCTCAGAAATTTACCACGTGGAAACAGCAGCAGTTGTACCCTATCTATAAACTTACAATTCTGCCCATTCAACTAGGATATTTGTAGACACAGAGAGCCTTAGTAGTACCCTCTACAAAGCACCCTCCAAAGTTCAATGCTTTAAGTCTACAGACTTGCTATCCCTGTCCAGGAAGAAGCGGTCTGTGCTCTGAGTGTTGCTTTCTCAGTTTTCCCTCTTTTGAACATTCCTTCCTTTCGAAAGAATGTTTATCTTATTTTTTCCCCCACCCATGGTATATTTAGGTGCATTGAGGAGACCTAGGTTTATTGTTTATTTGTAAGTTATAAGGAAACGAGGCCCCCTCATCCATCCTGATGGTGAATTGACATAACATAAAGATCCTGGAGCTGGGACAAGGATATACGTGGCTACGTAGTGGCGAGACAAGGACATTTTTGGAATTGTATGTATGGGAAGAAGAGTATGTGTTTTAGTGTATGTGGTAGGGAAGGCAGCAAAGGATATACTGAAAAAGTTTTTTCTTCCAAAATTTTTCTATTCTTCTGGAAAGAGCACTCGTGGTATTGGTAAGAATTCGTGCACTCTCTCATCTATGAGGCCCGTGCACACAGTGCAGATGTGAGCCTGAAGGCCACAGTATCTCTCATGCAGCAGCTGGCTTGAGAGAATAAAGTGAAACTGGCAAGAGAAGCAGAGAAGAAAGATGGAGAGGGGGGAACCTGCTGAAAGTAAGAGGTCTTGATACAGTTGTCCTTCCCTGTCCTACAGTTCGACGTGTGAGCCAATAAACTTGTTGCCATAGTTGGCTAAGCTGGCTCAAATCAGCTTCTGTCGTGTGCCACCAGGGGTCCAGCTAATTCAATGTGTAAAGTGAAAAGTTCTTTCTCCTTTTACCTTCTTTCCCGAAGCTACAATGACAGTTCTATAACCTTCACCTCTAACTCACCGTCAGCATACACTATTCCTACCATACTGAGAATGATCTTTGCATTTCATGGAGGCTGGAGATCAATTAACTTTATAATTTTAAAAAGGCGTGGACTTCCCTGGTGGTGCAGTGGTCAAGAATCCGCCTGCCAATGCAGGGGACACGGGTTCGAGCCCTGGTCTAGGAAGATCCCACGTGCCACAGAGCAACTAAGCCCATGTGCCACAGCTACTGAAGCCCGTGCACCTAGAGCCCGTGCTCCGCAACAAGAGAAGCCACCGCAGTGAGAAGCCTCTGCACCGCAACGAAGAGTAGTCCCCGCTTGCCGCGACTAGAGAAAGCCCGCACGCAGCAATGAAGACCCAACACAGCCCAAAACAAACAAACAAATAACTAAATAATAAACAAATAAAAACTTCCCTGAAAACCATGAGGGAGTTTGGGTTTTTTGTTTGTTTGTTAGTTTTTGTTTTGGGTTTTTTAAATAAAATTTATTTATTTATGGCTGCGTTGGGTCTTCATCGTTGGGTCTTTGTTGTTGCGCACGGGCTTGCGGCGAGCAGCGGCTACTCTTCATTGTGGTGCGCGGGTTTCTCAATGAGGTAGCTTGTCTTTGTTATGGAGCACGGGATCTAGGTGCACGGGCTTCAGTAGTTGTGGCACGTGGGCTCAGTAGTTGTGGCTCACGGGCTCTAGAGCGCAAGCTTAGTAGTTGTGGCGCATGGGCTAAGTTGCTCCGCGTCCCCTGCGTTGGCAGGTGGATTCTTAACCACTGCGCCACCAGGGAAGTCCCAGGAGTTCGGGTTTTTAAAAAAATAATTTTAAAAGGTGTGGATTTATCCTATTGTGTTTTAAAACTTTAAAAATAGCCATGTGTTATTTTTCTAATAAGAAAAAAGCTAACTTTATTCTAAAAAACTAAATCTTCAGATAAGAAAGGATAAAATTCAAATCTCTGTTTGAGGACCGTTGATTTCTGGATAGGTGTTAGAATAAAGCAAAACAATCTCTGCTTTAAAGTATTTTCCCACACTTTGCTCAAAATTGTTAACACAGCAAGGAAGTTCCCTTCTTATCATTTATTTCTGCTCTCATAGTAAAAGTGGTCTGCCTGGCTTTGTAGGCAAAGTGCTCTACTGTTTGACTTTAAAGTACTTAAAAATGTTTTTTTCTTATTTTCCCTCCATTTTGCTCAAAGATGCATAATGTTGTAAATAAGCTACCTTTATCTTACTATTACTACTAATGTAAACCAGATGGGATTGGGGCCTTCCCACCTTCAGAGACTTAGGAAAACTTTGTGCTGGCACCCACGTAAATTGATGGACTGTCAGAGTCCGGATCCGGTTTTGAGATTTCTGTGAATCCCTGGAAGCTTGCTTCCTCAGGGCTCCCTGTGTCGCTGCCCTAGGCCAAGATGGACGTTAGGAGCACTGTCTTCACTGTTTCCACTGAATTCCTTATCTGCCAAGTACTGCGTGAGGTTAATAACTTTGCTAAGGGTTTGTGAGGTCGCTGGACGGATGCATCTCACAGGGCACAGCCAGCTTTCTGTCATCTCAACAGCTCAGCCTTCCCAAAGCCCTGTCCACTGCAGTCAACAAATCCCTCTCCTTGTTCTAGGCTGGGCAGTGCTTCCTCACACTTGGGTCTCAGCTTCCAAGCAGGCTCGCCATGGAATTTTCCCAACAGAGGTGGGTCTCATTCCTAAGAGAAAAGATCACACCAGTTGCTAGGAGAATAATGTTTTCCCATTTGTTAAACTAAGACAGAGGAGTATTTGACACCTACCTGGGTCCACAGAGCTCTATCTGGCTGACACCTCTGTCATCTATCTCATTCACTGGAAAGGTTATTTCGGTGATGCTGCCGTCTGAGAGTCTCCCTTTCTCTCTCTCCACGTGGTCCTTTTGAAAGATGTGAGCTGTAAAAAGGGAAAAACCTTCCTAATAAGTACACGTATGGAAAGAATTATCTCTGATCATGGAGTCTTTTATTTTTAAATTAATTTTTACTGGAATGTAGTTGATTTACAACATTGTGTTAGTTTCTGCCGTACAGCAAAGTGAATCAGCTACACATAAACACATATTGACAATGGAGTCTTTTAACTAATAGGCTCTAGTCCTCTCGTCACGTTAACTTCCTAAGCATCATGTTTATTATTCGTCACCAAGGTTTTGAGGTCAGTTGGTATTATTATCTTTATTTAAAAGACAGGAGACCTAAGATAGAAAAAAAATTGTAATCAGTTACAAATCTAGGATTATATATTTCTTGGTGTCCTGGAATCATTTCCAAGGTGGTTTCAAACCACAGATCATGAATTACTAGCTTTAAAGATCAGTTTTTATGGTACAAATGTCCTCAGTAAAACTCGGAGAAGCCAAAGTCAACATTTACCCCCAAGTAATTCACATTCCAACTCTGGTACGTGAATAAGTCCTTATTCAGGAAGTTCTTCAGCGCCCCCTGGGGGAGTGCTTGCGATGAAGCGTTGTGCTGCCCAAGATGGTAAAGACGGTTTCAGAGGGTAGGAGAGCCATTCAGGTATTCATGGATACACACTGCGTTTATTTCTTTATGAACTTGTAAAAATTAAATCCATGTAACAAGAATTTGGAGGGGGGAAACATTATCTGATTTTCGACTATCTTTTGAGTGACATATGCACCGGGCACTATTTTGAGTCACTGCAAGGGCACAAAGTTGTGAAAGATAATGTCCCTGCCCCCAAGAAACACGCAGTAGGGAGGACACAGTAGTGAAATGATAATAATGATAATGATAATACCTAACCCTTACAGAGTACTTGCTCTGCGATACTAAGTGCTTCTCATCTAATCTTTTACAAGCAGCAGAAGAAAGTAAGACAGAGAGATAAGTAATAATAACAGGTAATATTTATAGAGAACAGACTTGTGGTTGCCAAAGGGGAGGAGAGTGGGGGAAGGAAGGACTGGGAGATTGGGATTAGCAGGTACAAACTAGTATATAGAGGATGGATAAACAACAAGGTCCTACTGTAGAGCGCGGGGAACTATAGTCAATATCCTGTGACAAACCATAATGGAAAAGAATATGAAAAAGAATATATATGTATGTAAACTGAGTCACTTTGTTGTACAGCAGAAATTAAACACAACATTGTAAGTCAACTGTACCTCAATAAGATTTTTTTAAACTTTTAAAAGTAGGTAACATTTATTGAGCACTAACATATGCCAAGACACTTTTCTAAGTGCTTTATATATGTGTAAGCGCATCTAATTTTCATGGAAAGCCTAGAAGGTAAATAGTATTATTTTACAGGTTAACTATCAACAATTTAACCCTTACAACAAGCTTATTAATGGGGCCTTATTACTGTTCCTTTTTGCAGATGTAAACCGAGGGGTAGAGAAAATAAGTGATTAAATAACTTGGCCATGGTTACATATCTAGTAAGTGGTGGGACCAGAAATCAGAATCCTATCACCTGTGCATTTAATTTACAGGAAGTCAGCCATATGCACTGAGACTAAGAGAAGGATTTAAATGGGGAGTCACATGCTTCTCAGCTGCCACACGCTTTGGAGGGACTGTGTATGGGAGATGAAGAGCTGTCCTGGGAACTGCCTGGCGGCCCAGCGGTTAAGACTCAGTGCTTTCACTGCTGCGGGCCTGACTTGGGGAACTAAGATCCCACAAGCCTCGTGGCACCGCTAAAAAAAAAAAAAAAAAAAGGAACTGTCCTGCTCAGTTCCTGTGTCTTTCCCAGCTTAGACATTTTGCCAAGCCACGGCTGACTTTAGCTTTAGCTTTGTAGTGCTGAAGGAGAGTGCCCTTGACCTAGGGAGAGCAGTAATTGCTCTCTAAATTGGCACCTTCTTAGGAAATTTCGAGAGATCTTTTGCACTATAACATTTTTTGTCCTTGCTCGCTGACTTTGGAGCCTAACTCCTGTGTAAGATGTAAGCCTGCTGTATACAGTGATGATAAACTGAGGACAAATACAGCATCGTTGACTCAGGAAAAACTTCATGGAGGGGCTTCCCTGGTGGCACAGTGGTTGAGAGTCTGCCTGCCGATGCAGGGGACGCGGGTTCATGCCCCGATCCGGGAGAATCCCACATGCCGCGGAGCGGCTGGGCCCGTGAGCCATGGCCGCTGAGCCTGCGCGTCCGGAGCCTGTGCTCCGCAACGGGAGAGACCACAGCAGTGAGAGGCCCGCGTACCGCAAAAAAAAAAACCACAACAAAACAAAACAAAAAAACAACCAAATTTTAATATTCTAAGCTAGAGGAGAAAATTAATTCTTTGTATTCTCTCCATAAAAATACTATTGCAAAATCATCACATGAAGAAAAGAGAGTATGTGGCCAATGAACCTAAGAAAATTATTTTAGAGGCATGTCACGCAGTTGATTAATTAAAAATAGTACAGTATGTTTTAATTTTCTTTCTCCACTCAGGCAACCAAATAAAAATGCAGCCTTTGTAAGTGGGCTCTGGGATTCTCTAGTAGAATATAAGCCACTTTCGGGCTTGTTGAATTGTGAACTGTGCTCCTTTGCCGACCTCGAATCACGGGAGAGCACAGAATAGGGAGAAGCCAGCCCGACCTCGCCCTCGGCCTTGGAGGTACTATTTGTGAAAGCCAGCTTTCCTCCTTGAAAGGCGGATAGCAGTCCCTACTGCAAGGCCCAGACTGGGGGTTTCATGTGAGGGAGAGTTTATCTGGGCAGCCTGAGGAGTGTTGAGAGCAGGGAGTCTGGAGCCAGCCCGCTTAGGTTTCCTGCCTGGCTCCGCTACTCACTTGCTGGTGGGCTTGGAAAAGTTGTTCTACCCTTTCAGTTGCCTCAGTTTCATAATCTGCAAAATGATGATAATACCTTCCTGACTGGGTTGTTATGATTAAAAAAAAAAAAGATTAAAAGGAAATACATGTTTGATCAACACTACCTATTAAGATGATGCCAGATTTCCCAAGCATTTTGTTGGTATTTAGGACTCTGATCTCGTGTAAGTACAGATATTAGCAATTACTGTACTTATTCATAGACTCTTGAATATTAATTTGAACCACAGAACTATTTTTATTTCCCTCTCTCCTTTACGTTATGGGAGTTTCCAGTCTTTCCTATAGGTTCACAGTATTTTAAAACTCTCAATTCCTCTTCCCATCTATTCCATTCTTTTCTGTCTGGGATTCACATTTTAATTATGGTTCTCCTGTGACCTTTTATCCTCCATATTGATTGGCTTCTTGTCCTGGCCTTAAATTTCCCTCTTTCTTTTTGCTTAGCAGTCAGTGTCATCAGCAGATATGGAGAGCCTACTCAGACACAATGCGGCAGACAGGAAGAACAGGATACAGGAGCTACAGGGTGGAGTAGAGGGAATATGCCGGCAACCAGAGGAAAAGGGAGTGTCTGGAGAGGCAGATAGGGAGTGCGGCCAGAAACACTCAACCATCTGCAGCAGTGCCTTCTGTCACAGGCAGAACAGGGATGCCAAACAGAGGGGAATAGGGCTGCAAGGTGGCAGCAGTACCCGACGAATCTGGGGGGGAATGGGACATGAAGCTGGTGTCAAGGCTGAATCAGAGGGCAATACTTTTCATCCGTGATGTTTGGACATGAACAGTTGAAACAAGGCTGCATTTTAGATGTACGTGGTCAAGAGCACAGGCTCTGGAGAATTCAATCTCCAACTCCACTGTCTACTGTGTAACTTTGAACAAGTGGCTTAATCTCTCATAACTTCAGCATGAAATGTAGGATGGGATAATTATACAGAATTCATAAGATTTTTTTTTTTTTTTTTTTTTTTCCGTACGCGGGCCTCTCACTGTTGTGGCCTCTCCCGTTGCGGAGCACAGGCTCCGGACGCGCAGGCCCAGCGGCCATGGCTCATGGACCCAGCCACTACGCGGCATGTGGGATATTCCCGGACCGGGGCACGAACCCGTGTCCCCTGCATCGGCAGGCGGACTCTCAACCACTGCGCCACCAGGGAAGCCCAAGATTTTTTTTTTAACATTTATTTATTTGGTTGTGCCGGGTCTTAGTTGTGGTTTGCGGGCTCCTTAGTTGTGGCAGGTGGGCTCCTTAGTTGTGGCACGTGAACTCTTAGGTGCGGCATGCATGTGGGACCTAGTTCCCTGACCAGGGATCGAACCCGGGTCCCCTGCATTGGGAGCTCGGGGTCTTAACCACTGCACCACCAGGGAAGTCCCAGAATTCATAAGATAAATGAACACAAAGTATCCAGTGGTATACTGATAGGGGCCAATATTATAGTCATTATTGCTGTTATTGTTTACTACTGCTAAAATAATGCTGCCCACTCTGATTAGCTGACCAGTAGGAAAAATCCCCAGAGAGGAAGGCAAATAAATAATGGGAAAAGCAAGGCTTTTGGTGTGCTTTTCTAATCTTTAGGGAAATGAACGGAAAGGAAAATTTCAATTAACTCATTTTGCCTTAGCAGCATGGAAGAAGCAGCTAAATGGCCTTGAAAACTAGTCAGCCTGCAGATATGGAAATTTATTTCAGATCTTTCTCCATGGAAGATATTTACCTTTGTGTTTTAATTAACTACTATAGCATTTATCCTGAATTTTATTAAGAAACCAATTTCATTCAGAAAATTTAAAGAGTAATGTAATCTTAAATCACTAATAAAATGTCTTCATGTACATTTCATTTGGACTTTTAATTTTTTTTTTTTTTTAGATGTTGGGGGTAGGAGTTTATTAATTTGTGTATTTATTTTTGCTGTGTTGGGTCTTCATTTCTGTGCGAGGGCTTTCTCTAGTTGTGGCAAGCGGGGGCCATTCTTCATCGCGGTGCGCGGGCCTCTCACTATCACGGCCTCTCTTGTTGCGGAGCACAGGCTCCAGACACGCAGGCTCAGTAGTTGTGGCTCACGGGCCTAGTTGCTCCGCGTCATGTGGGATCTTCCCAGACCAGGGCTCGAACCCGTGTCCCCTGCATTAGCAGGCAGATTCTCAACCACTGCGCCACCAGGGAAGCCCCCTGGACTTTTAATTTTATAACAAAGATAAGGAGGCAAAATCTGCTTACAAAAATTGCTTTTGACATGGAAACTATTAGAAATCCTAACAAGAATAAAGTGTAATCCATCTTAGACACTTCAAATATTTTTAAAAAGCAATAAAATGTTCTTTTTTTAAAAAAGTATTTTTGGCTGCACCGTGTGGCATGTGGGATTCTAGTTCCCCAACCAGGGATGGAAACTGTGCCCCCAGCATTCGAAGTACGGCATCCTAACCACTGGACCGCCAGGGCAGTCCCAAAATGTTCTTTAAAAGTAACTTATTTGTGGGCTTCCCTGGTGGCGCAGTGGTCTTCCCTGGTGGCGCAGTGGTTGAGAATCTGCCTGCCAATGCAGGGGACACGGGTTCGAGCCCTGGTCTGGGAAGATCCCACATGCCGCGGAGCAACTGGGCCCGCGAGCCACAATTACTAAGCCTGCGCGTCTGGAGCCTGCGTGTCTGGAGCCTGTGCTCCGCAACGAGAGAGGCCGTGATAGTGAGAGGCCCGCGCACCGCGACGAAGAGTGGCCCCCGCTTGCCACAACTAGAGAAAGCCCTCGCACGGACACGAAGACCCAACACAGCCATAAATAAATAAATAAAGCAAACTGTCAACAAGTAAAAATAAATAAGCACTATTATATTTTTTAAAAAAGTAATTTATTTGTGGATGGAATTAATACAATGCTTCCAACTAAAGCACTATTCTAAAGAGACGACTGCTTTTAAAATATATCAAGAACTTAAATTATGAAATGACATTAAATACTTATTTTACTAGAAAACATTACATGGTAAAATTACACCTGCAACTCATGATGATTTGGCTTCCCTTCTATATTAAAAACTTTATACTTTCTGCTTGTTTTACCTGATTGCATTTGACAGTACAAATGTCATTCTCAAGAATTGTTTCATTGGATTCTGGAAACTTCACACGTTCCTCCAAAATTATTTTGGTTTTCATCATTCTCTCAGGCAGGCCTCTTATAACTTGTTTAATATACAGTGTTTAAGAGATTCTGACTCGTAAAAGGCAAGATGGTACCTAAAACAAAACATGAGTTTGGGGACTGGGTTCTTTTACAGACCCAGAATATGGGAGAGTTATGAATAATCATCTTTGGAGACGCCCAGAAAGGGGCCGTGAGAGGTGTGGATACAGTGGCTCACAAATAAGGTAGGTTAACACCGTTATAGAACTGGATAGTTGCCCAGAACCGCTTATTCTTTAAAGAGAGACAAAAGAAGAGATTTTTCTGGCTGTCCTTATAAAGTCTACATGGTTGTTGGTAATCTGGGATTTACCCACCTGCAGTGAGGGAATCCAACAAGTTTTTTTTTTTTTTTTTTTTACGCGGGTGTCTCACTGTTGTGGCTTCTCCCGTTGCGGAGCACAGGTTCCGGACGCGCACGCTCAGTGGCCATGGCTCACGGGCCCAGCCGCTCCGCGGCATGTGGGATCTTCCCGGACCGGGGCACGAACCCGTGTCCCCTGCATCGGCAGGCGGACTCTCAACCACTGTGCCACCAGGGAAGCCCAGGGAATCCAACAAGTTTAAAGCCTGTGTCAGTCACTCAAAATTCACAGCTGCGGCAGCTCTTGTGACACACGGCTTCCAACGCGGCCTTACTGATCCTCATCTTCGGGTGTCCGTGTCTTTGTGCAGTGCCCTCCCACGCTGAGTTACGAATGGTTTGTATGACCAGTAGAACAGGGCATAAGTCATGGTGCATGACTCCCGAGGCTGGTCAGAAAAGACAGCATGGCATTTCTTTGTCCTCTTGGGTTACCCACTTTGAAATGTTATAAGGGAATACAGCCTTATTTAATCAGCTATAACTCAAAGTGCTCAAGGATTTGCCCAGAAAGAGAATTTCCAGTTTGGGAGGGGCAAATGATTTACTGGCTACCACTCAGAGAATTTAGTCTTCTCCTTCACTCCTCGTGTTGAGTATCACTCCTCCCCTTAAGGCAGGTGCTAAGGGGTCCTTCTTCCACTTAACGTTCTGATATAAAAGTGGGGACAACCTCTTCCCTTGGTTAGCCTATCATACTGAAGACAGGCTGAGTAGTCCTAGGAAGATCTTAAAAAGAGACTTTCTTAGATAATTAGAGAAAACAAAAGGGAAATAGAGAAAAGTACAAGATTACTGTACTTAGTACATATATTATATAATCTTACTAATATTTGGTCTATATATATATATGCATGTATATGTACATAAATGCACAGAAAAAAGTCTGGAAGCTTAAATGCTAAACTATCATTTATGGTTACCCGTGGAACAGTGGAGGTATGGGATGGCTGGGTATGTGTGGAGGGTGAGGCATGGAAAGGAAAGCAGAGAAGGAAAGGAGACTTAGCTTTTTTAAAAGTCTATTTTGTATTATCTGAAAATTGATGATGAGAATGTATCAATGAATCACTTGTATAATTAAAAAGTGAACTGTGTAATATAAAAAACAGAAGCAACAGCAATCTAGTTACCACGTAGAGCTCTCCTATTCTGCGATTATTCTAGGACTACTGGCCACATCAGCCCTTTCCTACTGAATTCTTTAGAGTGCTTTGCTACAAACTTTCTGGGTTTCTTTCTTCACTGGCTTCCACAAGGGATGTGTCTTTCCAAGACCCACTGTCAAAGAGACATCAAATTTGGCACCTTCAAGGTCAAGAGAGCAGATTGTGGGACTTCCCTGGTGGCGCAGTGGTTAAGAATCCGCCTGCTAAGGCAGGGGACATGGGTTCGAGCCCTGGTCCGGGAAGATCCCACATGCTGCAGAGCGACTAAGCCCGTGCGCCACAACTACTGAGCCTGCGCTCTAGAGCCCGCGAGCCACAACTACTGAGCCTGCGCTCTAGAGCCCGCGAGCCACAAGTACTGAGCCCGCACCTGGAGCCCATGCTCTGCAACAAGAGAAGCCACCGCAATGAGAAGCCCGCGCACCACAACAAAGAGTAGCCCCATGCTCGCCGCAACTAGAGAAAGCCCACGCGCAGCAACGAAGAACCAACGCAGCCAAAAATAAATTAAAAATAAAAAAGCAGCAGATTGCTCCATTTCCTATTGTACCGGTCAGTGAGAGCAACACTAATTCTGGGTAGCAAAACACCCCAAAACACAGTGCTTAAAATAACAATCTTTTTTTTTTTTTTTTTTTTTTTTGCAGGTCACTGGCTTCAAGCTGGGGGTGGTTCTAGACATCCCCCCCGCCATGTCTCTCATTCTTCTTGTACTAGCAGACTTCCCAGGCATGTTCTTCATATTGTGAAAGGCACATGTGAGAGAGGCAAGCAGCAACATGCAATACCTCCTAAGGTCAGGCTCAGAACTGTCACACTATCACCCATATTCCTTTGGCCAAAAGCAAGTGGAATGGTCTAAGCCCAACGTCTGTGGAGTGCAGAAACAGTCCGTCTCTAATGAGAGGAGCTACAAAACCACATTTCAAAGGGCGCGCATGGAGCAGTGAAAAATCGGGAACACTAATGTTATTTACCACTGTTTCTTCCTGGGACTTTCCAGCTTACTTCCAACTGACGGTAGAGGAGATACATTTCTTCTCATGTTAGCTGCAAACAGGAATGATTTGCCCCAGCAGGTGAGATCTGTTCCTAACTATAGAAATCAGGCGTTGTTGTTGCATGCTCCTTAATATGCCATGCTAGGGTCATGGAGATGCAGTAGTGTTGATTATTAAGTCCTTACAAATATCAAAGTGGATAATGGTTCCCTTAAATGATAGGTTTTTTATTTGTTTGTTTCTTAGCAGGAAAAAGGGGATTAGGAATACTGCCCTAGAAAGGGTGCTGTTTGTAGTGTTCTGTTTAATGTGCATAAAAGGTTTCAGTGTTATAAGGCTTTATAAATCCTTTAGTTCAAAAGAGTGGCAAGAATCGCTATGTTTTACATACAACTCAGGAATCCATAAAACTTCATCTGAGTTCAGGGGATCTCTATGACTAACCCTATTTGCTATCCAGATTTCCCCTACGTTTAAAAGTAAAAATCTCTTAAGAAGTACCCAGAGTTGCTTTTTAGGATAGGAGAGAAAGAATGCCCCTCTACCCCCCCTCCCCCGCCCCCGCCTCCGCTCCCCGGTAAATAAACAGGCATTATTAGCTTAAAAAAAGAAAGAGATCATTAAATTCTTCGGCTCTTCAGGGACTTCAATCAGTAGGGCCTTTGACGTTTGAGCCCTACTCTAGGGTTATCTCCATGGTTCCCACGTCACTTTCAAGAACAGATACCACTTGTATTCCTCTGGGTTTCTTCTACGCTCAGGACTGGCTGTGGAGCCGCAAAAGGAGTGAGTCTGGAGCCGGGAAACGAACCTGGCGAATCAGTACTGCGCCAGGTCCACCGGAGGGCGGCTGCAGGAGCCCGAGAGGGGACCAGAGTCGGTCCCCACGCGCACCGGGACAGTCACTGTTCTTTGTTAAACAAATACAAGCCAATGCGGCGCCGGCCAACTGTAGTGGTGGGGGAAGAGATTGAGGCGTTTGTGTGCAGAACTGGGCGTAAGAAAGATCATTAATGAGGCGCTCCAAATGCAGGACAATCCCGGGCACCGTGTCATTGGCTTTTGTGCACTTGAAGGCGCGTGAGTGCCCTGCTCAGAGGTTCCCCTTTGTGTGAAAGTGGGGAAACCAGAAGCATGCGGCTACAGCTGGGTTTTCATTTTCGAATTCGCAGGCACCAAAATCCTCCCGCGCTCACCCACTCCCTCATTCTCGCGCCGACGATCCTCGGACTTAGGGTACTTCTCCGTCCGTCGCCGACCGAGCGAGCAGCGACAATGGCCCGGGGCGGGCGCCCGCAGCTTTCGGGGCTGAGCCAAGGGACCGCCCGCCGCGCTCCGCAGCTGCGCGCTGAGCCCCGCCGCCCGCCCGTCAGTTAACGCGGGCACCAACCGCCGCGCGGCCCGGCCGTTGGGCGGGTGGTAATTTCTGGGAATGGGGCGGGGTCCGCGGGGGTACTAGGCCGGGCGTTTGCAAGCGAGCAGGAGGAGGAGGAGGAGGAGGAGGAGGAGGAGGAGCCGGCGGCGCGGAGGGGCGCTAGGCGGCCGGGGCGGGGCTCCGCGAGCGTCACGGGCCGGGGCGGGGCCGGGGGCGCGCTCCGGCCCGCCCGCGGCCCCACCTTCTACTTAGCCCAGGCTTTGGAGTCCAGACGGGAAGGACCCGGGCTAGGAGTTTCAACGACCTCCGGCCCCCACTGACTGTCAGGCTGCCTGAGTGCAGAGCAATCCCTTGAGGAGAAGGGCGGGAGTCCGGAGCTGGGGATGGGGTGACAGCCGGCGCCCGCGTGGGACCTCAGAGAGTGGCGAGGGTGTGTGCGTGCGCTCCGGGCCGGCGGCCGCTGCAGGTGCACGCGCGCCCCTACACGCCTGCCCGCGCTTGGGAGCCCCCGCGCCAGTCCCGGGCCGGGGCCGGAGTCGGGAGCAGGATGGGGGAGCCCCGAGCAGGGAGCGGGAGAAGTGGCGAGAGTCTTTACCTGAGAAGGCGTGCTTGGGAGAAGTTGGGGGCTACAGGGCGGGCGAGATTCGAGAGAGCCATCGAGGCCTGGTGGGCGGGCTGGTGGGGGCCGAGGGCGGCGGGTCCCGCGGGGTATAAATAGCCGGCCCGGGTTTGACAGGCGCGGCGGTGACTGGCGGTGCCGCCCCCCCTCGCCGCGTGGGGAGGGGAGGAGCGCTCTGAGCGGGCGGGGTGGGGGAGGCGGACTCGACTGTCCTGTTGGCGGCGGCTGGAGGCCGAGGGGGAGGAGCCGAGGCGGAGGGAGGGGGCCGGGAGCGGGGCGAGGGCGGGGGCCACCATTGCTCCCCGCGCCGGGCTCAGTGTCGCCGCCGTCGCCTCGGCGGTTGGGGGGGCTTGGCGGGGCGGCGCGGGCGGGGGGCTCTGCGTGGGGCGGCGCGCCGCTGTTTTGTCTCCTCCTCTCCCAGTGGAGCGGCTCGGGCAGCCGGGGAGGCCCCGGCTCCCTCCGGACGCCCGGCCAACGGCGGCGGCGGCGGCGGCTAGTCCGCGGCCCTGCCGGGAGGGAAGGCGACGCGGCGGTCTTCCTGGGCGACGCGGAGAACAGGTAAGAGCGCGCGGGCCGCCGAGGCTGGTGCGAGGGAGCGCGGAGGGTGCGGCGAGAAAGGCTCGCCGTCCCGAGTGCCACCGCCTCCCTCCGCGCCCCCGCCCCGCGCCTGTGTTGTTGGCTCCGGGGTTTGCGGAGGGTTTTCCAGAGGCTGTGGCGGTGACACCGGCCGGGAGCTGGGGAAGGAGGCTGAGTGCCCCCGGGCAGCGGTCGGGGAGCGGGACTTGGAGAAAGGGGAAGGCGGGCGGCGCGCCCGCCCGCGGAGAGCGCGGGGCGCCGGGCAGGGCTGCGCGAAGAGGTTACGGACCCCGGCGGGGGGGATGGGCCGCGCGCAGCTGGTCTCGCAGTGTTTACACCGCCGCGCGAGTCACCTCTGCCGAGAAGCGGACTGAACTGACCCGCCTTATCCCGCGAGGAGGCCAGGGCGGGGGTCCGGCTCCGGAGGAAGCGCGTCCTGGGAGGGTCGGGGAGGGCGGGAGGCTGCGGCCGGCGCCGGGGCAGGGCGGCGAGCCCGGGGCGGGACCTGGGAGGCTCCGGCCGCGTGGGGTGGCGTGGAGGACTGGAGACCAGTTTCCTTCCCCTTCGGGCCTCATCGCCGCCTCTTACCTTTCCTGCCCTCCGGTGTTAGCTGGCACGGCAGGTTGTACTCGGTCATTCTTTTATTCTCGCTCTGCACGCCGGCCCCCTGCTGCCACTTCCCCCTATCCCCCCGGGAGTGGGGAGGCTGGGCTCTGATAGGAATCTGCTTTTTAAACAAAACAAAAACGGGCTCTGTAACACGCGCGTCCAGTGACCGCCTTCTGGATCCTCTCTTCGCGAAGCTGGCCCTCAGGGACCTTGCTCCTGGATGCTGGCGGGGTGTGGGGGGGGGGGGGGGGACGCGGGAGGAGGACGGTAAGGGCTCGGCCAGGGCTGGTACTGACTGCCCGAGCAGCTTTGCGAGCTTTGCGAGCAGGGCAGCCGAGTCTCCTCTTGCTCTACTTGGGCATTTTTATTCCATGTCAATAAAGGAAAATATTCCAGTACCCCAGGAGTAATCCAGGTTGCATAGTTCCTAGTGTTTCCCATGTGCCAGCGTTCCGGGCACTCTTTTTTCTAGGAGCTGGCTACGGTGCAGAATAGCCTTTCTTTACGTTCTTAGTACTTCATTAAAGGAGTAAGAGGGGAACACTTTATTGTAAAACTGAATTTCACCCCCTTTTTTGTCTTCATGAACATTTATTTCAGCCGTGTGGTTTAAATTTTAATCCGGTGACGATAGAACAGTAATCTGGTGTTTGGTAATCAGATTTGCTTTTTCTTTTTATCTGTGGGTCTATATCGAGAGGTAAATGATGTACTTTGTCTAGTGCCATAATCACAGAATAGTGACAGAATGCACAGAAGAATGTATGCTTTACTAAGATAGGTTTGGATATTTGAGCTTCAGAGTTTCTTCCTTTCTTCCAAAGGTAGAATGACTTTATATAAGACTGGAAACTATTGAATTACATTTAAAGGGGTTTAGGAATAAAGTTTAAATATGATGTAATACAGTTTACACAGTGAGCTCATATGAATATTATTCTCCTAGTAAACACACGAAGTAGAAAATGATATATCTTGGGCATTTGAAATTTGAAAATTTAATATCAATCTGTTTTTTAAGCTTAGTGGCTGAACTAATTGCTTTGATGAATCATTGCTTTTAATTTCAGACACATAAATTCATTTACAAAATAATCACAGTAGGTTGGAAAGAATTTGTAACTTTGAGATTCTTCTGTCCTAAGTAGATAGGTGGGTAACTGCAGCTGTGGTAGGGCCTTACCAGCGCTGATGGCTTCACCTGCTCACAGATCGTACACCGAGGTTTATTGCTGTTGTTGTTGATAACAGCTTTATTGAGATACAATTCACCTACCATTCGATTCACCAATTTAAAGTGTACAGTTCAGTGGTTTTTAATATATTCACAGAGTTGTGAAACTATCACCATCATCAATTTTAAACATTTTCATCACCCCCCAAAAAGGAGCCTCATACCCATTAGCTGTCACTCTCAATTTCCCCCCAGAACCCCCAGCCCTAGGCAGCCGCTAACTACTTTCTGTCTCTATAGATTTGCCTACTCTGAACATTTTCTATAAATGGAATCCTGCAATGTGTGATCTTTATAATTGCATTCTTTGATTTAGCATAATGTTTTCAGAGTTCATCCACATTGTAACGTGTCATTATTTCATTTCTTTTTACTGCTGAGTAATATTCCATTGTATGGATATACCACATATTATGTATCCATTCATTAGTTGATGGACATTTGAGTTTCTACTCTTTAGCTATTA